CATGCATTTCTTCAGCAAGTCGTCGCCTCACCTCTGGGAACCCTTCTTGATTACCATATAGTGCAAAACTAAGTGCACGAAACCCACAATGACCGTCTGGCACCGGGTCGTGGATGGCAATGATAAGCGGCCGAATGAAGACAGGAAGCAGTTCCATGTGTGCATAATCAGAATGGGGGCTGCTGGGTCCAGGGATATCTGTGAAGGAAATAGATAATCAGCACAAATTCGACGTAAAATATTAATATAAATAACTACACTTATGAAAAATTTAAATTTTACCTGTGTCAGGACAGTTGTATTTGTTGTTTTCTTCTGGATCATCACACTCCTCCGCTGCATGGTCGTCTGACGGGTACTCGTCTGTCTGAGTCCCCGTGGACTTGGTACTGGTCGACTTTGTAGACCCCGACGTTCTGCTTCCCGACTTCTTTTTCATGCTTTCTTCTTGCCTCGCAGTATCTTTTCCCACCACCCTTTAGTTCTTCCAGTTGATTTTTTGGCTGGGCGTCCCTTTCTAAATTCGTTCACTTCTGGCTCGTGAATGTTGTCCTCCGCCGGGTGGAGACCGCGAAACACGTTCTTTGTTGCTTTTTTCGTTGCCTCTGGTCCTCTGCGTACAGCCTCATCAACCAACTCCTGAAGGTGACATCTAGCCTCCTCCTCCTGGGGAACGTACTCCTGAGCATTGGGTGGATGCTCGTATGACAGTGTCCGCCAATATATATGAATATCACCGGGATATATCTCTATGTCCCGCGCTCTGCCATCCATAACTTGACATCCACACCTCAAGCCGTGTGTCACAGAGAAATGACATGCAAATCGGGAGTTCTCATTTTTTTCCAAGCGGGTAGCCAATTCTTCTTCAGCCTCCTTCATTAATATAATTGCCTGCATACTGACCTTCCTTCTCAAGTATGTGAATGGTGTACCACCGGATGCTGAAAGGGTTTTCTGTCTAGAGTTTTCCAACATCATCCTAACCTCCCCGAGTTGGTTAGTAATATAGCGGTGGTTTCCTTTCCATACAGTGTCCATAGATCCCCGCGAGTTGTGGAGGAAAGTTTTCAAAGCGGAATGTGACGACTCAACCCTGTTTGTGCTCGTATTTCCTAGATGAAACACATTTTTGGTATGACAAACAGCCCACTTTTCTCGATGTTGCCACCACACTCCCTGTATGTATTGCAACAGACGTGGTTCGTAATTGCCCCATCTTGTCCTAAAGCGGCCAAACGCGGCCAACATACCTTGCTCTGACCAAGAATAAAGCATAGGACACCAATATTGGTCGTACGCCTCGTTGACCAAATCCATCATGTCCTTCCCAAATATTTCCAAACACTTCTTCTGCACATTGGTGTTGATGTGCCAAACACATAGCAAATGCGGGGGAAGACCACAGGAACCGTAGCAAGTAGTCCACCTTCGTGGTCGGTGATGATGACAGTGGGCACGCGTGGATGGAGCAATTGTTGTATGCACTGCAACAGCCACATATACGACTCTTTTGTCTCATCCTTCATGAGAGCACAACAGATGTTGAAATTCTTCCCAACTGGAGTAGCACCTACGACCTCCACCCACGGCCATTTATATGCATTGGTCTTATACGTTGAGTCGATCAGAATCACGTACGGCCAAGCCTTCAACATCTGGATGGAAGTTGGATGGGCAAAAAAAAGATGTGTCAGCACGTCGTCATCGTCCTTCACAACCTCTGTATGATAATTCTCACGTTCAACTGCTAGCAATGCATACTGCATTGCATTCATCTCGCCCATCTCGTCTTTCCTAGACTTGGACCCGAGGTTATACATCTGCCTTTGGGTGTGATGCTCTTTGTCACCCTTCTACTTGTTTATTGTCTGCTTCTGTTGCGACGGAGGTACCCCAGCATCTCTCATCTCCCTCGGAGATTCTTTATCCTCCTGACTCAATTTATTCATTTGACTGTGACCCTTGGGATAAAGCATCTTCTCATGATTGTGATACCCTCGCCTTAAACTGGTTCCTTGCTCCGTCACTCCTTGTATCTCCCAGAATGAAGGTCCATAAAGAGCATCTGGATTAACCAGTAGTTCTTTGATTTTAATCTTGAACATGCATCCCGATCCTTTTGAAGGATCCGGCTTGTATGACTTCCTCTCCCTACTGCATCTGTCGCAATACATATAACAGATACCCAATACTCTTTTGTTGCTCAATTCACGTGGCTTCATCGATCCCTTAGTTAGAAAGAAACCAAGAGACATCGCGATGTTTTTGGTCAGTGTTACAGCATCTTCGAAATTGTCATATCGGACGTGATTGAGAAAATGGTCTGTGTAATCACTAATTAGTTCAACATTGTAAGCCATGTCCACCTGCAATTATGATTTTACAACTCGTTAGAAATGTACAAATTATATGATTCTACAAAATTAAACTAAATGCAATAATTTAATTAAGTCTAAAAAATAATGATAATTTAAATATAAATTATTAAACCAAATTAGCTCTATAAATTAAATCTAAACACAATAAACCAATTTGCGCTACAACAAAACACAATCACTTAATTAAACTAATTGTACTTCAATTGACTCTACAAAATTAAACTAAATGCAATAATTTAATTAACTCTAAAAAATAATGATAATTTGACGATAAGAAAATTATTTAAATATAAATTATTAAACTTCTTTAGCTCTACGAATTATATCTAAACACAATAAACTAATTAGCGCTACAACAAAACACAATCGCTTAATTAAACTAATTGTGCTTCAATTGACTCTACAAAATTAAACTACATGCAATAATTTAATTAACTCTACAAAATAACGATAATTTGACAGTAAGAAACTAATTAGCGCTACATCAAAATACAATCGCTTAATTCAAACTACATATGAATTTAACTATGTAAAATAGAAATAAAAGCAATAAAGTAAATATAAATTATTAGCTCTAGAAATAATAACCTATCTCAAATTAAAAGAAAAATATAACACTGCCGACTCCGATGCATCCGGTCCCCGGCGACGGGCCCCGTCCGCTCGACGGGGTCCGACGACGGCGAGCGGTCGGGGTCCGACGACGGCGAGCGAACGGGCAAAAGAATCCAGGAAGTCAGTGGGGTTTACTTGCTTCGCTGGTCCGACGATAGGGTACGGCTGCCGTCCAGTACCCGGCGAATTATGCTGACGAGATTGGTCCGGTGGTCGGCGACTTAGGCTGCCGTCCGGTGGCCGTGAATCTGGCTGTGGTGTTTGTGGGGGGTTGGTGGTCGGGACTCTGGTAGTGTGTATGTTGTTTAAAAAATCATTTCAGCGAATAGAATATAAAGAAAAATTTGGAGGGCAAAATTGTATTTTTAGTGTTTTTTACGGGCGGCAAATAGTAATTACCCGGGCGGCAAATAGTAACCCTCTTAATATTTTGCTACGTTACCGTCAACCAACTATTGAATGAAAAGTTAATAGTTTAGTTATTAAATTGTTTTAAAAAAATTTGACTATTATTTTATTTAAAATAAAAGGTTCAATTATTAAATTATATTTAGGGCAAATACAATATATTATCCACAACTATTAACAAACGGGAAATTATATCCATAACTATCGAAATACAAAATAATAGCCCCAACTATTATTGCGAATCATGAAATGGCTAACTGTCTGTGTCTCCGTTAAATTTTATAACGGAGACTGCCACATCACCATTCCACGTCAGAAAATATTAAAATAATAATATATTAAAATAATCATTATTATTAAAAAAAATTAAAAAAATGAGAAAACCTATTTTTTCTCAATCCCCTCCGCTGGAAAGAATTTCCCCCCTATTGCACAATCCCCTCCGACTCCATCGCACAATCCAATTTCCAGGTTTCGCCGACTCCATCGGCACTGACGAAGATGAGCACCAGATCTTGCAGAGGTCATTTCGAGGACTATTCGTTCGGCACAGCACAGAGCAGCCCGCAGAACTACTACTCCTCTTCACCGAAACCCGACCCGTCGGCGAGCCTGCGGCCGTTCGCGTTCCCCCGACGGCGTCGGGGGTGGCTGAGGCGATCGAAGATGAGAGCTTTTGATTCTCCAATTGGAATAGAGCAGAGTCCTCTCCGATTGGCGGCGATTCATCGGTGGGGGAATCAACATCGCGGATGGAAGTCCAAGGAGGAGAAGAACTCCGGAGTAAGTAATTGGCAGAGAAACGAAGACCAGAGTTCACTGCAGGGTGGAGGAAGACAGAGCGTGGAAGCGGGGTTGCTAGAGTGATGGGTTTGGGGAATCCGGTGGCAGGGACGGCGATTGGACTGCGGCGGAGACCGTGTGGAAAACGATGGAGTCCACTCGCTCAGGTAACCCACATCTCTCCCTGCCTCCGATAAATTCTCGATATCGGTTGCTCTAACTTGTACCCAAAATCCCTAACCGGGGACTATTCCTTTTCTGACGTTTACATTGCTCGTGGCTATTTTTCTATCTGAGAAAGGTAGAGATGGAGGAGACAGATCTCGTTTTAGATCCAGGCGAAGATGGCGAGGAGGCAACGGTGGAGCTTTGTGCGGGTGGCGGGAGACAGATCCTTTCTTCGAAGGTTTCGATCTGGTGGGCGGCAGGAGGCGGAAGCTGGTGACTCTTCAGCTGCTCAGGGAAGCTGTCGACGTCGCTGCTGCGGTCGATCTTCCTTGATTCTCCTTGAAACCAGAAGGGGGAATTGAGAAGGGACGAGAAGGTGAGGAGTAAGAAGGGGATGTCTCCTTTCGCGTTCCCCATCGGGGGATTTATTTTTTATTTTTTCCCCTAATAATATATTAATTAATAAGTTAAAAGGTTGACCTGCTTATGTGGCATTTGTGTTGACTGCCACGTCAGCATAGCATCTGCAAATTCACCATCATCTAACGGAAGTGTTAACGGAGACTTAACAGTTGGCTATTATTTTGTATTTCGATAATTATGGATATAATTTCCCGTTTGTTAATAGTTGTGGATAATATATTGTATTTGCCCTTATATTTATCCTACTTACATAGTAATATTTTTCGGGTACCGATTCCATTTTACAATCCTTGGTGCACTGGTTTTCATTTTTGGCAGTTCTATAGAAATCTCCGACCTGGTTTGATGTGTTTCTTCTGAAGAATGGAGAAGGTGATGAACGATTTGAAGCTGGCCGAGGCGAAGCAAGGGAGTTTTATCAGCTTGATCGACGAGTTCCAGGCGAAATCTTCCTCCATCCTCTCGCTCTCTCTACAATGGAAGGATCTAGACATACAGTACGGGTCGATAAGGGAGAGTTTACTCCAACACGCGCGACAACTTGCCATGCAAGCTACGGAAGTGGAGGAAGCTTGGAGAAGCATTGAGGCCCGAGAAATCGAGGTTGAGGTTAAGTTGGAAATGGCTCTAGGGTTTCTCGACGAGGTTGGAGTGAAGGAAGGGGAACTGGGTTTGCTTAAAAAACAGTTTTCCGAGTGCGATTCTGGGCTGGGTTCGAAGAACAGAGAGTTTCAGAGGAGGGAAGAGGACTTGGGTTTGCTGAAAAAACAGATTGAGGACAGTGATTCTAAGCTGGGTTTGAAGAACAGGGAGCTTCAGGGGAAGGAGAGGGATTTAGGGTATATTAAACATAGAGTTGAGGATTGTAAGGCTGAGCTTGAGGGTAAAGAGAGGGAGCTAGGGTTTTTACAAAAGGCATTGGATGAGCTTCGCAGGGAGGTTTGTGAGAGAGAAGGACAAAGGGATTCAGCGCAGAAGGCTGTAGAGGAAGAGTCCAAGGAGCTTCAAACGAAAAGGGAAGAGTTGGGTGAGATAAGGAGGTTGATTGCTAAGTGTTATACTGAACATGAAGTGAAAGAGAAGCAGTTGGTAGAATGTGGAGAGGAACTTGAGGGTAAGCAGAAGCTGTTGAAGAGAGTGGCGAATTTGCTTTTGAGTTCTTGTACTGAGATCCGGGCAAAAGAGGAAGAGTTGACTGAGTTAAGGAGATCGATTATTGAGTATAATGCTGAATATGAATTGAAAGAAAGTCAGTTACTTGCGGCGGATAAGGCACTTCAGGATAAGGAGAGGGGCATGGGTTGTTTGGAACATAGGCTGGAAGAATGTAGAGAGGAATTTGAGGGTAAAGAGAAGCTATTGGGTGCGGCAGAAAGTAAACTGGCTGGGCTGAGGGAGGAAATTTGTGGTAAAGAGAGAGAATTGTGCTCCTTGCAGAAGTCCTTTGAGGAACAGTCGAAGGAACTTGAATCAAGGCGGAATGAAATAGAGAAAATGACGAAATTGCTATCTATTTGTAGCTCCGAGCTTAAGGCAAAAGAGAGAGAATTATCTGAAGCAAGGAACTCGATCATAGAATGTAACGCTAAGCATAAATCGAAGGAGGAGGAGCTCGACCTGGTGGCTCTGAAGCTTCAGCATAAGGTGGCGGAAATGGGTTCTGTTCAACAGAGGTTGGAAGAATTTACAGCAGGACTGGAGGCCAAACAGAAACTATTGAGTTCCACAGAAAGTACATTGGATGAGCTGAGAGAGGAAGTTTGTAGGAAACAAAGAGACTTAGGTTCATTGTGCAACTCTCTTGAGGAACGCTCCAAGGAGCTTGAGTTAAGACAGAATGAAATAAGTAGAGTAGAGGATTTACTTTCAGGTTGTAGGTTTGAGCTTCATGAAAAAGAGAAAGAGTTGACTGCAGTAAGGCACATGATCACAGAATGCAACACTGGCCATGAATTGAAGCAGAAACAGCTGGCTATTGAGCTTCAGGAAAAAGAGAAAGAGTTGACTGCGGTAAGGCACATGATCACAGAATGCAACACTGGCCATGAATTGAAGCAGATACAGCTGGCTATTGTGGCTGAAGAGCTTCAGGTTAATGTATTGGACTTAGATTCTGTTCAACATAGGGTGAAAGCATCTACAGGCGAACTGGAGGCAAAACAGAAGCTATTTAGTTCACTAGAAAGGGTATTGGAGCAGCTTAGGGAGAAGGTTTCTGAGAAGGAGGAAGAATTCGGTTCATTGCAAAAGTATGTAGAGGAGCAGTCGAAGGAGCTTGATTGTAGGCAGAAGGAAGTAGAAAGAACTATGGATTTGCTTTCAAGTTGCAATTCTGAGCTCCAGAGAAAAGAGAGAGAGTTGGGCGAGATAAGGAACATGGTAATGAAATGGAACGCTGAACATGATTTGAAGGAGAATCAGCTGACTATGGAGGAAGGGGAGTTTCAAATCAAGGAGAGGGACTTGGATTCTGGGCTCGAGGTGCAAGAATGTGGAGGGCAGCTTCAGTCTAATCAGGAGCTACTGGGTTACTTGGAAACAGCCCTGGCAGAGCATTGCAAGCTGATTTCTTTCAAAGAGAAGGACTTGAGTTCGCTGCTGAAGTCAATTGAACTGAAAGAGGCTGCACTAAGTGCTATCGAGTCTTCAATAAAAAGTCGAGACAAAGTACTTAAAGTGAAAGATAAATTGCAGAAGTTACTTCAATCAAAGATAGACAGACGCAGCACAGAGCTGGAATCACTGAAAGAGCAGAAAATTTCTATCCAAGCATTGGTTGAAGACTTTACCCTTGCTCTTGAGTCAAATAGTAAGAGCGTTGAAATGGCTGGGGAACAGATGAATTCATGTTGCAGTAAGCTTGAGTTGAAGCTGGGCGAGCTCTATACTATAATGACAAAACTGTTTGAATGCCGAAACAAGCTTGCAGACAGAAGAAAGCATGTGGAAAAACATGCTGAAGCAGTTGAAATGCAAAGGACGGAGCTTCAGAAAAAAGCTGAGTTGTTTAGATTGAGAGAAGAACAATTGGGTTCAAAAGAAAAACTGATTGATGAAAGATTTACAGAACTAGAAGCGAAAGAGAAGGAACTAAGCAGCTTGTTAGAAGAGCAGAGAATCCGAAAGCAAGCTGGGACTGTGGAAAATATATACGGTACGCTCTACTCTTTAGATGTTTCCTTGGCCTTCTTATCTTAGATGATCATCACTCTTCAGGGTGTGTATTCTTGTGTCAAAGTTATAGGTGGATTTAAATTGGTGTTTGACAGTGATATGACTTTCAATAAAAGTGAAACATCCATGTTTTTTTTTTCCTTCTGGAATTGTGTTCTGATCGTTCTTATGTTCCCTTTTGTTCAAGTATTCCTCAAGTGGTCTGACACACATCGCTGCTGTTTACTGTAGGGGTCATGTCCTGTGAAAGCAATCCTCCAGATCCCGCCCTAGAAGAGCCATCGCCACCTGATTTGACTGACGATGAGGTCTCTACTGCACTTCAGTCATCAGACCCAGCAAAGATGATATTTGACCAGTTAAAACAGTCAATTTCCCAGATTGGTGCTAAGAGGTATGACCAAACTGTGGTCAGGAATCGAGTTGTTATGCTGGAAAGGTTGATGGGAGTCCCTGCAAATGTAAGTCCTGAGGTGAAAGAAGCATCCATTGAACTGGCTGTTGCTTGGAGAGGGAAGTTAAGACTGGAGGCTCATTGTTCAATGGATATCATAGCTTTCTTCTTGTTTTTGGCTGTATTTGGAGTTGGCTCTCATTTTAAAGCGGAGGATATGTTGGAACTGGCTAGCGTGATTGCTCACCATGAAAGGGCTCCTGAGTTATGCCGTTCCCTTGGACTTGCAAAATGGATACCTGGTATGTTTTCATTTTTCACTTCTCTTGGCATTATCAAACGCTTAGTGCTTTTGCTTTCCACCTCTGTGGACGTTCCTAATTTTGGTTCCTTACCGTCATCTTGATTTTTCCTTCAGGACTTATCCAGAGCCTAATTAAGAAGCACATGCATATGGAGGCCATTAGATTCAGTTTGGCATTCAAGCAAGTTCGCAGCTTCCCACCAAATCTACTCCTATCGAAACACTTGGAGAAAACAAGAATCTTTGAGGACGGAAAGAACTTACTTGAATCCCAAGTAACTAAACATATCTTTTCCTTTCCTCTTTTCTTTTCCTTGTAATATAATCCTTCTTCCTTTCAACAACCCAAATTTCTGAAACTTGATAATTCCTTCCTTCTGCAGTACGAGGCCCTGAACAAGCATCTTGAATCCTTGAAAGCTATGTCACAACGTGTGGCTGGATTAGGGCTTGATCCGAGTGTCTTGAACCAGAAGATCAGTGACCATCTCCATGTTCTGGAGACTCTATTGGGGCATACAAGAAGTTGCTTGCTTGCCACGGGTGTTGTTATAAAGAGCCAAAGGTATGGTGTTGCTACAATTTCTGGCAACAAATCGCCATTGCAGCTTGGGAATTTGACCGAAGGACAGAAGATCAAGCGGCAGAAGAACTAGGGAGTGTGGTATGATGTGTGTGTGTGTGTATACGTAGCTAGCTTAGCTATGCCTAGTTAGGAGGTATGAGATGTGGAGATCAGTTATCTAGTCTTTCTTGTTAACTTTGTGGAAGAATACGAGACTTCGGGTATCCACTGATAACGGATTTGTCATCTCAACTAATATGTTACTGCTTGGTGTCAAAACAGAACCTAATCGGAGTAAGTTGTTCGTTCAACTTGACTCGTAACCTGAGTGTAACCCAAATTGACTAATTAAACACATTATTCAAAATCCACCTGATTGGTTGCAACTTGCATGATGTAACTCAATAATCTGTAACCCAAATGACACGCCACTAAGTCAATTCAAATTGATTGGCCCGAATAAACAATGGAAATAAGATCAGATGTTATTTCATGTAATAGTTCACATTACTATAAATTGATTAATGTACAATTCTCTAATACTCTTTAGTATATTTGCAACATATTTCACCACCCATCAAATTATTGCCACTCTAAACATTAATTTAAGGGATCATTTTGATTGATCAATAGTGTTTTTTTTTTTGTTGTGGGATAGGAATCCGACGATGTCGACTATGTGTAGTGGAGCGCGAAGGCAACGAGGAGCAACAATGCAAAGCAGGAGAGTCCTGCCAAGACAAGGGAAGTGGTCATGACGAGGACCCTGTGGAGGTGTACGATGGTGAAAGTGGTAAAAGAGGAAGGAGGAAGGAGGAAGAAGGAATACTCATGTACCCTAACACTCTTTTTTTTAGGAAGGAAAATGAGGGGAAGGAAAGATAACATAGAAAGTTGGGGTAAAGGAGGGGAAAAGTGACTATGTAATCCGTCCTCCGATTCGGAAAGAAAACAAAAAGTGTGACTTTGATTACTTTTTTAATTCACATAATCTCTCTTCTCTCTCTTTTCTTCTTTGTTCTTCTTCTCGTCCTTGTGCATAGTCAAAATCCAAAAAAGCAAACAAAGAAACTGAAAGAAGAACCTTTTTCCATAAAACTAGAAAGTAAAAATAAACTCACAAAATCTTAACCGAGAAGATCGAGTCTCTCATCGTTGGGTTTCTCCTTTGCTTTCGATGAGATCGAGAACATCAACGACCCTCGTACTTCTAGCCACATTTGATCGAGATAATAACCATAACAACAAAACGAGACACAAAAGGGATTACAATCCCTAAACCAAACCGAAAGTAAAAAAAAATGCATGTTTCAAATTACGAATTAGATATATTTGATCACGTAATCAAAGTCTTAAACAAAAATAAATTGTAAAATATATAATCTAATAAAGTTGTTTATAATTTAAAAGCCATCTCATAACTTACACATCAATCCGTTAATAAGTAGATACTCACGCTGACTCACTAGTCACAAAGTTGGCTTAGGATAGGGTGAGTAACCAATGATTACTAACCTATAAGTAAATAAATATGGACTTTTAGATCTAAGTGGGCTCAGAAAATTCAGATCTAAGGGTTGTCAATTAAAGACATTTTATTTTCCCTAGTTTTCATAATCTAAAGACATTTTATTTTCCCTAGTTTTCATAATCGACTCTTATCTTCTTCATTCTAACTCGGATTTCAATTTTTTTTTGCACACATGGAATGAGTTCGTTGTGCTCTACAAAATGAAATCACTTTTCAATATATTTCGAGAAACTTTTTTTTACCAACTACTTACCATATGGTAACTTCTTCGTTTTTAAGTCGTTTTGAAAACGTTTGCTCAGAAGGAACGAGTTCATCATGATCTATTAGATCTACAAATTTCTAGGTGAAAAAAATACTGGACAAAAAATTACCATACTTTACCACTATGGTATTGGTATGTGGGTGGTAACTTGTGGTAAACAATGATGAAAGTCGTACATGACAGTTAGTACAAATTTCTAGGTGAAAAAAATACTGGACAAAAAATTACCATACTTTACCACTATGGTATTGGTATGTGGGTGGTAACTTGTGGTAAACAATGATGAAAGTCGTACATGACAGTTAGTATACTCCTATTATCATGTATTCAACCTTCTTACAATATTGGTATGTTCATACCATCATAGTACGCTTTCTTACCATATGGTATTAAATATGAGCATACCATATGGTAATGACTGGTAAAAAATTATTCAATTTTTTTTGTACTAAAAATATATCAAAGTGGATATTATTTTAAAGAGTACATTTAATCTGATTTATCTGTGCAAAAAAATTTAAATTTCGACTTAAAACGAGAGAGAAATCGTCCTCTAAAGATTAAAGGGGAAAAAATAAAAAAAAATTCAGGAGAGAGGGATATTAATGTCATGCTGATGATCACTCTCATGGGTGGGCTTTGGAAAGTTTATTATTATTATTATTATTATTTGTGTTGTCCTTAGTTAATTATAAGTTCATTTAGTCCTTGTTTAGGAATCATATTGTAGTTTCTTTCAGGGGTGGGCAACGGGAAACGGGTATTTGGGTATACCTGTACCCGTCCCATTTTTAAGGGTTACGGATACCCATATTACCCGTAATATTATAAACAGATGGGACTTGGGATTGTACATTCCTAATATGGGTACCCGTGGGTTACCCGCGAATACCCGTTTGGGTAATATGGGTATACATTATACTCATTCAATACAAATGCATAAATTTAGTTCAGCCCAGCCCAATTTAAAACCCATTGGCCATTTCGGCCCTTACCCTTTCAATTTCAATTCCATTTGGGCCCTTACCCTTTCACTCTTTCACTGACATATTTGGTGAATTAGTAGAGAGAGTTGGGATGTGTTTGAAATGAAGCAACGAGTGTCCATTTACAACCTGGGATCATTGTGTACTTAATTAAGGAACTTGGATCATCACAATATTGCTCCTAATTATTCTTCTTTGCTGGACAGCAGCAAGTGAAGGACAGTTGCAGCTGCAGAAGAGAGAATGGCAGCAACAGCCTGCAGAAGGGAGAACGGCATCAGCAGCAGCCTGGAGAAGGAAGAACTGCAGCAGCAGCAGTTTGCAGAAAGTAGCAGCATGCCTCCCATTTGGTTGTGTTGAATGAAACTTCTTTTTTGATAATTTGGTGCTTGGAATGATTTATTTCTATGTGTTGTGACTGTTCATGAATGTGTAATTTGCAAACCAAGTATTTGTGATTGGGATGTATTTTGTGTCTTGTGATTGTTAAGCAAATACAAGTTAAGTTTAAACTTTTGTTAAAATTTTAGTGGTTTAAACTTTGGGTATTTATGGGTAGTATGAGTACCCGTTATCCGTCTCGTACGGGTAATGGGTATCCGTTTCCCATATGGGTTTGGGATATGGGATGGACTTTGGTCTCCAAATGGGTCTGGGTACCCGTTTAAAACGGGATGGGTATCCCGTCCCGTTGCCCACCCCTAGTTTCTTTAAGAGTAAGTTATCGTGTTCTTGTTGGATTGGTAAGTGATAAGATTTTTCTGGTTTTTCTATAAATATGTACGTAGTCTTTCAGTTTATTACGTGAATAAGAATCCATATTAGTATTTTCGTATGAGTTTTAGGAGTAGAAGTAACTAGATAATCATTCTCTCGTTGCATTAAAGTTATAATTAGGTAATCAAAATTCTCATGCATAGCCTCCTAAACTCCCGCTATAATTAGTGAAGATATTCACATACAACTCCCTTCCTCCTGCTTCTTTTTGATATTATATTCCTCTTTACTAGAACCACTCACTAACTTGAGTGTTAGAGAGTGTCCCTCCTAGATCGATAGACATACCTTTTTTTGCAGGAGACGATTGGAGCTGACACCACGAAAGTAGTTCGAGCTGAAAGGTGGTCGTCGACCGATCCCAATGTTCAGCATAAAAAATTCGACGTCGCCTATAACCTTGTCATCAATAAAGCTAGTTCATAATAAGCTGAAAATGAACCAACTCACAAGTTAAGTTCAACAAATTACTGGATCAAACTGGCTCACGAATCTCGTAAGTCGTATAAGATTTAGATAAGATTCGACTCATTAGTAATCGAGTCAAGTTTCGAACGATTTTTTCATGAATTGAACCGCCAACCAATGCTAATCAATTTGTCGGGGAAAAGAAGAATTGTCGATCTTCACCTACACATTGTCTCTCCCACCATACTAGAAACAATGGTTGTCAAGTCGATGGCAAGCTTGTCGTACAACTAAGTTCAACTAGTTCCAGTTACAAATGTCGACTGTAATCAGTGGCGGACCAAGGATTGTTGAATAGTGGTGTCGCTTAATAAACGAGTATCAGCTATAATTATTAAAGCGGTGTCGAAAATCTCGTATTAAAATTTTTTGTACAAAAAAAATATAGGTTCTTCACAAAATTTTCGGACAAAGGGGTGTCGGACGACACCCCTTAGCAACACATAGGTCCTCCCCTGACTGGAACGTCCTGGTATGATCGTGATAATCGTGTTTGACATCGGAACAAAATGACGTCGTTTTTGTGATTTTAATTTATAAAAAATAGTTTTTGATTTCTTTCTCAAATTTGAATGTTAAATGTTGACATTATTTGTTGAATTCAAATATAAACGTCAATGTTGTATTGAAATATAAGAATTTTTTATTTTGTTTGAAATGTTGTATTTTATTTAAATATAGATGTAAATTTTAGAGAGATTGTCTTCACATATGCTTCATTTAGCATTAATGATTTTCTACTTTTTACATGTTTTTCCATAATATAACTAATATAAACGTATAAACCAATTGTAGCCAAACTCATTTCACATCCTTGCCAGAAAGTATTTTTTTTTACAAAGGAATTACTTGCATTGCACTTTAAATGATTGATTACAAGAGAACCAGTAAAGCAAACCAAAATCAGAACAAACACAGACAAACTCAAACACCTGGATGCTCAATCTGTACTTCAGAGATACAACAAGAAGAGCATAAAACCCAGAAGGAGCCACACAACAAAGGATCTGAGACACTTGAACTAAAAGCAGTAAAAATTGAAAGCTATCTTTCAATCAAATCAAACGAAGTAGCATCAAGCACAATCAGCTCGTCCTATCCGAACGAGTCCATGATGATTGAACACAATGCCATTAGCCGCCTCCTGAGAGTCGCTCTAAGACGCTCAACACAGTGAATCACGGGTGAGAGATAACAGACAGTAGAAAGAGCCAGGAAAAGAGAAATGCTCTCTCTTTTTTTCCTTGCCTCTCGCCTTGTCAGCGGAGCACGTGTCGTGCTTTGATGAATAGAAACGTCGGAGTTTTAGTGTCAGAACAAGGTGATGGCAGCGGCGATTGGCCGGCAATGCAACCT